CCGAGTCAGGGCATGTGCCCAGGTTGTGGGCTGGATCCCCAGTTGGGGGCGTGCAGGAGGCAGCTGATCAATGACAACTCTCTCATAATTGATGTTTCTATCTCTCTCTCTCCTTCTCCCTTCCTCTCTCTGAAATCAATAAAGATATATTTAAAAAAAAAAAAAAAGGCAGGGCAGCCTGACCAGCAGCTTTTGGGATGGCACTGATGCCTTCCAATTCCAACCACAGTCAATTTATATCCAGTCTGCACTACAGATCACTCACATTTGCTCCTGACCTAACCAGCATGAGATAAGTGAGTGCAGCCGCTTGGCACTGCCACTGCCCTCTAACCTGCTATCACTGGGGGGTCTGCTGCCTTATCTGGGAACCCCTCCTGTTGTCTTTCCATCTCCATAGCCAACCAGGAAAACTCAGGCTAAAGAGGATGACCCCAGAGATGAGACAAGGAAAACAAGTTAATTTGGAACACAGGAATCCTGAATCCCAATTCTTTGTGAATTCAAAATTGCCAGGCATTCCTTTGAATTTTAAATTGGGTGGGGAGATTGAAAGCAGGAGTCATTTCCTTTTGGAAATGCATTGCCTCTTTGTTCTGCTGTGGTACCATCAGAAATGGTGAGGTTTGTGAGTAAAAGAAAGGGGGGGGGGACTTGTGTGTTGCCTGTAAAAAGAGAAATGCTGAAACTCCCAATTCCCTTGGATTGATTGCTTCTCACCCCCAGGATTCACAAAGTACCTAGAACTAGACCTGTAGACTGAGACTTCGGCTGGACTCTCCTGGCTCCCTACTCATTTTGGCAGGTAGGAATCAGGACTGATGCAGCCTCAGGCAGGAGCTGAGATTCCCTGCCCTTTGGGCCACTGATTTGGGTTGGGGAGGCTTGGAAGGCAATAGCCAGGTAAAGTGAGTCAAAAATTCTTAAGCATGGGAGGAAGGCAGGGAGCAAGGTGTCACTATGACGAAGCAGTACTTCTCAAACTTTAATGTGCATATAAATTACTTAGGGATCTGCTAAACTGAGATTTTGATTCAGTTTGGAGTGGGGCCTAAGGTTCTGCATTTCTAACTAGCTCACAGGTAGTGCTGATGCTGCTGGGGCCACAGAACCTCAGAGGCCCCTGAGTATTGCAGACCAAGCCCTGGTCCCAAGATGTGAATTCTCTCCAGCAGAGCAGATCCTGCATTTTTGGCATTGATGAAGGGTGCTCTCCTTTTGACCAAAGAAAGCTGGAAGGTGGGCAATTAGCAAGATCCTTCTGGTATTCTTGATCTTTGTAACAACCTGTTATAGCTGAAAGAGCATTTTTAATTAGACCAAATTATCCAGTTTGGCTGTCCATAGAAATCAAAGCCCCAGCTGAAATGCCTGTTTCATTTTGTTAGTGTGGAAATGGCTATGTGGTGTGATTTTTAAGATGTTAAACACTGCCTATGGGCATATTTTATAGAGAAATAAACACATAGCCCAATGAGATGTATAGTGTGGTTTTAATATATTGTATATTCACTTATTTATGAGGAAAATAAACACACAAGCCAATAAGCTGTGTATTATTACTTTAATATATTGAATTTATTTCATAGCTATATATTTTATGAGGAAAAATAAACTAATAAGATACACGGTATTATTATAATAACACATCTAATTGTTTTATATTAATTTATTTATGAAAGAAATAAGTTCAATTTAACATGACATAAGATTATGTAATGCAGGAGATGAATTCTATATTAAGACAGTTTAAGGGATTAAATTTCAGCTGAATAAGATACGTGTACTTCCCACACTGAGGGTCCAGTTAAAAAATATATATATGCAAGAGCCTGTCTAGTCCTGCATGTCACGGCCTATGGTGGCTCCTGGCTTTTCCTGACAGTTGTTGCCTCTTGGTGCCTGATACTCCAAGTCCCCGTCCTGTTGGTCCAGGGAAAAGTCTGGGAGGCCCAAGAAATAAACTGATTTTAGAGACTGGCAGCATCTGCTAGGGAGGTAGCCCTGCGGTGTGTATTTCCGAGCCCGAGAAATATTAAGTAAACCTAAGGAGGATGGATTGCTTTCCAGGGCCCTTTAAATCTCCACGTTCCCGGGAAGAAACCAGAAGGCACATGGGGAAGATCGATCCTCGCTTCCCGCTAACCGGGTTTGCAAGTCACCGGGCCTGTGCGGTGGGCGATAGGAGAGAGTGTTGAGATGGCAAATGAAGCTGTTGGCAACGGCAGGTAGGTCTGCATTTGGAGAAAGCTCTGGCCAGGCTTCGATCCCGGCGCGAGGGATCAAACGCCTGAGTCGCCCAGGCGACCGGGGCCTGCAGACCGCCGCGTCCCCTCCCCTTCCATCCATCTCGCGTCCGCAGCATCCATTGGGCTCATCTTTAAAATTAAACAAAAACTAAAAGGAGGCTCCCTGGCTCCCTTTCTTCCCTGGCGTCTGAACGACCCAGAAAGGAGAAGGAGGGTGCGGGCCGGTCTCCTGGGCGGGACCCGCGCCTCCCGAAGCTGCGGTCATGGCGGCCGCGGCTCTTCCCGCGCCTCCCCGCCGCCGGCCCAGCGCCATTTTGAGCGTCGCCCTCGCTTC